AATTCTGACCTCTATGCATCTGTCCAAATAAATAAGCCTTCTTTAAATGTTTTCACCTACCTGCTAATCCAATAAACTGGAAGGGCATTTGCTAGTTTCATTAAACTTAACATTTTATAGGGGCTAAAAATGCGATCATTTTAACGTCAATAACAATTACACTGATTTATCTACTTGCACGACTATTCCATCACCTTGCTGGTCACAATTTTCTCTTAAAATTTATTCAAGTATTTTAGAGTTACCTTAATATCCTCCAATGCCTTCTCTGTATGTGTGTGTGTGTGCGCGTGCATGTGCAGTATTTAATAGCACTTCTATTTGCTGTCATGTGAGCAGTATAGGTAGCAGATCTGGTTTAAAATTGACACCAATGTCAAATGTGTTGTAGAATACTTACTAAAGTTTTAACTGCTCTTTAACACAAGCAAACAAACAAATACCCAAACAAGTTATCTTAGGTTCTGAGGAGTTAAGAGCAAAGATTTTGAACTAACTTTCTTTATTCAGTTCCTAAGATGTTCTAGCAGCGCGTGACATATGAACAGGACAGGGCTGAATCGCGTTTTTTCTGGAAGGCAGACGATACTGAGGGACGAGACCAGCTAAGCTAAGAGAACAGACAGGCCAACAGACAAGGCGTGCTCCTCCTGGCTGTAACCTGTGATGGCACACACCTGTTTACTGGCGCTCCTTTCATAGAAAGAAAATAAGACACTGTAGACACACACAGCTTCTCTCATCCATGTAAACGGATTTGTGACTGAGGGTCCTGACTGGAGACAGACACAGGGACAAACAGAGCTCCTGTTCAGGGATGTGTGGACACCGCATCCACTGCTCTCCAGCCACGCTTGAGGACGGGGCACTTCCTCGGTGGGGATACAGGGGCCAAGCCTGAGGGACAGACGGCGGAACAACAATTTAGCATTCTGGCTGGAGGGGCAGGGACCAGAACAGTATGGTCAGGACTTCTGAGCCCCGCAAGGGCATGGGGGTGGAGCCGGAAGTAAGTAAGTGCATTACAACTGAAGTGGCAGATGTCTCTGTGCAGGTGTGGGGGCTTCTACTCTCTGACATGAACACAAACTGATCACCTGTGCACACACTGGAGAAAAACCATGTCTAACCATGGAGTCTTCCTACCTTTGTCTCTCCTGTAACATCGTGCAGGTGGGGGGTGTAGTAAAGTACATGTGTATGGAAACACGCCACCAAAAATAACAAAGGATAAACCACAGAAGACACCTGAAGAACGCAGAACAGGTGTCGAAAGAACCACTCAACTTGGCTAGTTGCCCTCAGCCCCAAGGCTCTTCCCTAACGGGGTCCAAGGCACCTGAGAAATGTTTTAAAAAGATGCCAACTCATCACTTTATTACTTTTCTTCCTTATCTGCTTCTTTTATCATTCCCTTAAATAAGAAAGAAATAACTCAATTGTAAAAGCAAAATTCAGTCCAATCACTTTCCAGTGCATGACAGTCAACAAAGGGGAATTTTCTAGCACATGGCTTCTTAGACCGACTCAGTCCTGTGTTTCACAGACACTGTTGGTATATACCGGAGGATAGTAAAACAGACAGACAAATGAGAAAAACACTTCCACAATTGCATGGAAGCACTAACATGACTTCATTTACCACTGAAATACTCGATCAAGTGTCATTAAGAGCGAACATTTCTTCCCAGATTTTAACCAATAACGAAGCCATTTTCTCTGGATCTCCACTACCCAACTGTACAGGATTTGACTAATGCATGGCAAAGCTCTATCCATTTTAACAGTCACCTTAAAATAGGAACTTTTCCTTTTTAGGGGGTTGTCCAACCAATACAAGGCATGCGAGGCAAGCACAGAAGGGCTCCAACACAGTCCCTTGGAGGAGGGCTGGGGACATAGTCATATAAAGCACTTCCGACTTAACAACCTATAAAGTGTGTATCTGCTACTTGAAGGAAACAGTCACCTGTAACCATCCAAACTGTTACATATGCATTGTTAATTACCCAAACCACACTACAATGACAATCAGAGGGGAAAACCAACAGCCCACATATCTACACAGTGACACCTCCAGTGGAAAATCCCAGATTCTGCCTTGAAACTGTAGTAGTTGAAGTTAAAAGGTTAAGCTAAACAGGCTTCTTCACTGCTGAATTCCCCTTCCACGCGGTCTTTCTGCATTCCAAATTTCTCGCACACATGCCAATTGGAAAGGGCTGGGAGGTGAAGTTGGAGGATTTGGGAGGAATTTTTTTTCTCTTCTTTGTAATGAAAGTTGAAATCGCAGGATTTCCAATTAACACTTGTAGACATGAACAGAATTCTACCAGTGGGAGTGAGGTGGCAGGTTCTGGCGAGGCCTCAACAATAATGTAAGGCAGAGGCACACGCCAGCTCCGGGGTCCACCTGCAGCGACCCGCGACACAGCAGCATTTATTGTTCTTCTTTCTCCCCTCCTTTCCTGGTGCAAGCCGAGGCCAAAGGGAAGGGGACGAGTGAGCCCTTCCCTTGCTTGGCCTTGGTGTGCCCTCCACTACCGTCTGTGGTATTGTCAAGATGGGCAGAGCCACACAAGGAGTTAGCACAGAACAAGTCACTTACAGAGGGGGCAGGGAAGACGAGTAACTTATTGGAGGGCAGTCACATGATGGCCGACGCCTACTGTGGTATCGGTATAAGGCCGTGGTCCTCGAGCAGCAGCAGCAGTGTCACCTGGGAGCTTGCCGGACACGCACATTTTAGCCCCACCCCAGACCTGCTGAATCAGAAACTTGGGGATGGGGCCCAGTGATCTGTTTCCACAAGTCTCTGGGTGATTCCGACACACCTAAGCTTGAGAACCATGGACTGTTCTGTCATTAAAACATAGTACAGCAGCTCTAGAAGGGAATCAGATAATAACTGTACTTCGGATTATAAGAACAAAGTTTAATATGCAAAGGTATGAGAAGATGAAAAGTTCACTTTATCCCTACTTATCATTCCATTCATTATGACTGATGCATTCCTATTACCACTGAGTGAATTCTGACTCACAGTGACCCTTTAGGACAGAGGAGAAACCCCTAGGGTTTCTGAGGTTGTACATCTTTACAGAAGCAGACTGTCTTATCTTCCTCCCAAAAGTGGCTGGTGGGTTTGCAACACTGGCCTTTTGGTTAATTGTTGTTGTTGTTATGTGCCGTCGAGTCAAACCCGACTCACAGCGACCCCTCCTTGGGTTTCTGAGGCAGTATCACTACGGAAGTAGGATTGCCCAACCTTCCTTCCGAGGAGTGGCTGGTGGGTTTGAACCGCCAGCCGTCTGGTTAGCAGGCAAGTGTCTTAGCCATTATGCTACCAGAGCTCCCAATAGCCCAATGTTTTAACGACACTACCACCAGAACTCCTTCAAATGATGTGTGTTGTTGTTGTTATGTGCCATTGAGTCAGACCCGACTCATAGCAACCCCTGCTTGGGTTGCTGAGGCAGTATCACTACGGAAGTAGACTGCCCAATCTTCCTTCCAAGGAGTGGCTGGTGGGTTTGAACTGCCAGCCCTCTGGTCAAATGATGTGTAGATGAGGCTAATCTATTTTTTCATTTGCATGGGATTCCAAATCACTCAGGGCCGAGTTTTTATCACATAAAATAACTTAAACCTTCTAATTCTAATTAGAAGCCAATCATCATATCTATAACTCATAGAAATAACTATAAACACCAGGAAACTTTAAATATCAACTACTAAGCTGGCAACTCTGGTCTTCTGAGTGGCTGGGAGAACAGAGGATGAGGAAAAGTGGCCTCTCCCATGGGCCGGGGTAGGCCTGGGGGGTCCGGGGGGTCTTGATTCACTGCCACTGGGCGAGCGACTCTGGCACAGCACCAATGGTGCAGTGGGTCTGTAACCCCTGGTCTGTCCCGACCTGGATCAAAATCATCACCACTAACAGCAAATGCAGCTTCACCAGTGAAGGGAAGAGGGCAGAGATAGTGAAGACCCAGGGCCAAGGCAACAGCCAGAGCTGAGCCAAAGGCCCATGCATTGCAGACATGGGACAATGTGGAAATGAGTGTCCTCACCAATGCACCAGTGAGGTCAGGATGCAGCCATGGTGCAGAGCTGGCACGGACAGATGAACACCACCCTCCAATGCTCCTACAAGACTGGAACCTCCATCAAGTGCCAGGAGACTTCTGGGACACCTTCCCTTCTGCATCAGACAGCATGGGATAGGGAGCCAGAAGGCCCGGCGTGTTTTTCTCGGCTCTGGCACTGACTCACAGATGACACTGTAGTCTCACTTTCCTTAGAAAACTGTGGTGACTGCATATGAGGTCCTCTCGGTCAGCTCCCATTCAAAGACCCTACGCTTTTCTAATACAAAGTCTCGTACTGGTTATAAAATCTGATAGGAAACATCATAGGGCAAGTAATTGATCAAAACAGCGGACGTGCACATGCGCATGCGTGCGTGCGCGCACACACACACACACACACACAAAAGCATTTCACTGCACTAGGACCACTCTACAAGTTAAATCATTCAGTTATGTTTATACTGCTACACCATATGTTAGATTATATTGTTGTTGGTGTGTGTCGCTGAGTCGATTCCAACTCTTAGCAACCTTACAGGACAGAGCAGAATGACCTCATAGGGTTTCCTACAATGTAAATCTTTATGAGAGCTAGGTCTTTTTTCCTGCAGAGTAGCTGGTGGGTTTGAATTGCCAACCTTTTGGTTGGCCGCCGAGCACTTAAAGCACTACGCTACAAGGGCTCATCTCTGAACTCTGTTGCGTGGTGCTACATGGACGTAACTTGACTAGGTCGGCAGGAGAATCCTCCCTTATCATATCTGTTGTGAGGTGTAGGCTCTGTTTCTTTCTTTCATCTGATAAGGAAACATAATATTCTTTTTCAAAACATAAGGAGATGTATACATTAAGCACATTCACATAAACTTTACATATACACTTAAAACACAACCGGAACCGTGGACTGACCTCTTTCCTGCGGCATTGGAGACTGGCTCAGGGCAGGGTGGACGCTGGACTCTGACTGGCTGCCGGGAGGCTGCGGTGGCATCTGACTGCCTGCAAACACAGGAGGGAAGAGCAGGTAGGAGTCTTGTGTGAAGACTGCAAGAGTACAAAACTGCGGCACGGCTCCGCTCAGCTAACCTTTCCGATCACAAAAGGTACAGCCCCCCAGGAAAACATCCCTCCCAAAGTGTGGTATTTCCTTGTTTTTTAAAAAAGAAGAGGAAACATACATACACGTATTTAGTCAAAGACCTGCTGAAAAGTTTAATTTACTGAGTGCACAAACACAGACACGAATCAATTTATAGCTGAAATCTCCTGACATACTTCTTCACTGAATTTAACAAAATCCAAGACTGTTGAACCAAATTCATCCCCTCCCACCCCTAGTTTAAAATAGTCTCCAAGCAGGCAGGTGTGCATAGCTGACAACAATTTTTCACTAGTAACGTTCCATCGATACAGTCAGGTCAACAGACTTTTAAAAATCTTTGTAATTGGTCAATTAATGGATTTCACAGAAACAGCAGATCTTCATGAAAAACATAAATGATTCTACCACCACACACAGTGTATATGATCTTTAAAGAAGGGGCTCCCACCCTGTACCCCTGTAGGTATTTACTGATAATATAACACACTTTCACATCTGTTTGGTTTTCTCTAGTCTAGGACGGCGCCTAACAACCACCACCATGGTCTTCACAACTATATCCTGGAGGCAGGAATCGTGTCTTTCACTTCCATTTACCCCTCTGTTAGCCTAATAGACACTGAATAAGTCTCTTATTTCGATCTTTAATCTGAGAATATGGATCCAAAGAAAAGATACTTTTCAATTGATAATAGAGAGATAATGAGTCACGTAAAGGCATGAGACCGGATTTCAAAATTTAAGAATCATTGGAGGTATTTCCTTCTCAACTCACTTTCTGGCTCAGAAGTTCAGATGTTTTCTAAAACAGAAAAATAGTATAAAGTAAAAAAAAAAAAAAAAAAAAGGCAGTTTAATTTAGTACAATCCTCAGTGCACTGCTCTCATGAAGATCATGCTATTGTATCTTCTGCCCTTCTATTCACTATGATAAATGGGGAAGATGAGATTTTAGAGAAACGCACATGTGTATGTACATGCACCTGAGTGTGCGTGTATGTGTATCGGGATGTGGGTGTGTGTATATGGGCTTGGGTGTGTGCGTATGTGGTGGGTGTACATTCACTATTAGCAGCTGTTGCCTTGGCCCAACTCGTGGTGACCTTACGTGTCACAGAACGAGACACTGCCGGGTCCCGTACCATCTTCACGATCACTGGTGGGCGTCAGTCCTTCATTCTGACTGTTGGCTCACTCCATCTCACGGAGAGCTTCCCTTGTCTTCACTGACCCTGTACCAAACATGGTGTCCTTTTCTAGTGATTGGTTTTCCTAATGACATATCCAAAGTGAGTGGGTCCTGTGCTCGCTTCTAACGAACATGCTGGTTGTGTTTCTTCTGAGGCCAATTTGTTCATCTTTGCAGTGGTCTGCACGTGCACCTACACACATCTCCCTGCATAACCTAGTGCGAGAGCCTATTCATGCTAGATCAAGCTAGGTGCTCTGACCCCACAGGACCGAATCTTCCACAGTTACGATTATTACTAACAAGACTCAGAATTAAGCAGAGCAGGAAATGAACGTCCCCACCAATCCACCAGTGAGGGTCGGGACGCAAGCCATGGCACAGAGCTGGCGTGCACAGATGACCACCACCCTCTCATGTTCCTACAAGATGGCACTTCCGTCAAGCTCTGCAGCTGGTCTGCACAAATGTGGACGAGGAAGGGTCCTCACCTGGAGCCCTCAGGACTGCCACTCATTACTGCTCTAACAAAGAGGTGCTTCTGTGATAGCCAGAAAGGCGAGACAACAGTGCTCAGCTTAGATAACAGTAAAACAGTTCTTCAAAATACTACTGCAAAATCATACTCCAATTATTTCCTGGCATTGAGGCTGCTCACTTTTAGAGAAGAGTGTACACCTTCTAAATGTGTTTCTGAGTGCCTCTGGGCTCAGCTGCCTTTCCTATCTCAGCTAGAGTGAAAATCAGGGAAGGAATTTACTGACACTGAGGACTGATGCACTAAGAAACCACTAGGGGCTGCTCTTATGTCAGAGCCATACGTAGGTAGAGGAAAGACCTAGGCAAGCAACACAGTTTCACTCATTCAAGTCCTAGATATTTGTAGTAAATTAGCACCGATACCAAATAATTAAATGTAAAGTAAAAAAAACACTAACATTCTGGATCAAAATGATTTCAAGAGTCAACATTGGTCACTAGGCTTGACTACAAAAATTCCACAGCTGATAGTGTCCACTGTGGGGTCATGTGCTTCAGACAAAATGTCCCCAGGCCCTTGCCTGACAGTCCATTTGGAAACGTGAAGCACAACTACACTGGCGTTTACAATGTCACTGGGGGATTGGCTGCACTTACATTACAAGGATCACGACCACGTCTGCGTGACAGCCTGAATTCACAGCCGCTACAGCAAAAACAGTGTTTCTGTGTTAACTCAGGACACCGCCCCTCCCCCTGTGCACGCCCAAGGTACTGCTCCTAGATAAAACACCGCAAGGAAAATCAAGGGCTGCCTAAAACCCACCCCATGAATTCATGAAATGCAACCGCACAGCACTCCTGGTTGCCTGGTACAATTCAATTAAGACAGAGAACCCTATAAAGCAATTAGGAAATTCATTTGATAAAGTCATCCTATTAACAAAACAAATAGGAGATGTTTCACAGTAAAGACAGAACTGCCCAAACAGTTTCAAATTCTTCATTTTCCTTCATCTCTTTTCTGTCCGCATCGCAGTCACAGAAGGAACTCCGTCTTCTGTAGGCACTGGTCTAGGCACAGACTGCAGAGATGAGGAACAGAAACGTGTTCGAGAAACAGAACACGCTGATGCCTCATGTATTGACCACCTCTCAATCTACCATCCAGCTCCCTTGTGCGTTGATGACCAATGTCTGGCAGTAATGAATGCTGAGGGGCAAGGCAAGCGTTAACACTGGCTGTGACACTTAAGGTGATGTGTCTACTTGGCTTGCATTCTCGGTGGTTTGGCAGTGTTTTTATCGATGTATTTGGCAATTGTGCAATGATGTAGTTATCCTCCACTTTGTGATATGATGTGGCCACCCTCCATTTTCACATGACCTTGGTCTCTGTAACCTAACTATGTTAGTTAGTGAGACAATGTATAGAAAACTCATGTGTGTCCACAGTTCACAGAAGGAAAATTCAGAGCCCACTGAAAGAACCAAGTTAAGTAAGACATCTACACAGCCATGGATTTGTAAATGACAAATGTTAGTCCTAAGTGAAACCGACAAGCAAGATTTGGCAATAATTTTAAAAGAGAATACTGCCGAGCACAGAGAATGAGCAAACCAACTTTATGCGGAAATTTATCATTAGAGTAATTTAGAGTATTTAAGTTATTATTATTATTTTTTTTAACATTTTTCTATTTTTAAGGAAAGTCTTGTGTTATTATCCTTCTTTGTTTCTAATGATGTGAGTGCAATGGAAAAAAATTCAACAGGGGAAAAATTATGCTGTGAGTTAGAATAATTCCACTATGTTATATCAATATATTCATTTTCCAATGGCCACAGACACTATACATTGTGCAAGATTTTGGCGCAACAAAATAAAAATGAACGATCAATAAATCAGAAAAACCACACCCGCTGCCCTCAAATCCATTCTGACTCACAGTGACCCTACCGGACAGAGCAGAACTGCTTCATGGGGTTTCAAGGCTGTCATCTTTACAGGAGCAGACTGTTCACATCTTTCTTCTGCGGTGACTGGTGGGTTCCAACTACTGCCCTTTCAGTGAGCAGCTGGGCACTGACCTACTGCCCCACCAGGGCTCCTGAAGGGTAAGTTACCTACATTTCTTCTTGTGTTGACTTACAAATCTCAGTTTAAGTCTGTATTATTATTTTTAAAAATTATTATGAATTAATTTTAGACTTAGAGAAAAGTTGCAAAAATGGGTCGACTGTCCCCTATGTCTCCTACCTTACTTTCTCTAACGTGCTCATCTTACATAATCAGAATATAATTATGAAGAAGAAAAGTGAGCGTGTGCACTGTTACTAAGTAAAGACCTTAGCTGAATCTCAATTTCTCCACTTGATATATTTTTTCAGTTCTAAAATCCCATAGTGCATTCAGTTGTTATTTCCCCTTAGTCTCCTCCATTCTGCAGGAGTTCCTCAAACTTTCATTTCATGACCTTGACACTTCAAAAATCATGATCAGTTCACTCTGCAGATGTTCCTCAATCTGTTTTTGTCTGCTACTTTCTCACGATTGATGTGAGGTGATATATTTTGGGGAAGTATGCCCCCAACATGCCATGCCCTTCTCGGTTCATTCTATCAAGGGGTTCACTCATTAGGGAGATGTCCACTTTCTGGTCATGTTTACCTTGAAGACTTGCTAAAGTATAAAGTTACCATTTCCCCTTTGTCCTGAGGTATCTTGGAGGAAGATACTTTGAAACCGCATAAAATCCTGTGTCTCCTCAAACTCTCAGCATCCCATCGAGAACCTGCTCTGTGACGTCTTCCTGGGGTGCCCACCTAACGGCGATCCTCTCTTTCATTCCTTCCACACTCATTAGCTGGAATTCCACGGTTAGGGCCAACTACCTCTGTTTCCACTCATTTGTTTGGCTACTTATTTCTGCCACGAAGGACACACTAGCACACACACGCTATGACGACGACCTTGCCCCCCAGGTGAAAGCTCCCCTCTTGATTGGAGGCAGAAGAGTGATTTGGCTTCTAGCAAACAGAAAATGACAACAGTGATGGGATATCACTCCCACGATTATATTATGTTTCGTGGCAACTGGTGAAGGGATTTTGCAAATGTAATTAGGTTCCTAAGCAACTGACTTTGATCTAATGAAGAGAGATTACCCTGGGTGGGCGTGACTTGAGGAAGGCTGCAGTTCAAAGGGTCTCTTGTTGGCCTAGAAG